AAGATGAAAAAATAACAACTGGATATTACTTGGCCATAAAAAAAGAATGAAATCTTACCATTTGTGGCAACATGGATGGACCTAGAGGGTATTATGCTAAGCGAAATAAATCAAAGATAAATACCATATCATCTCACTTATACGTAGAATCTAAAGAACAAAATAAAGGAACAGACAAAACAGAAACAGACTCATAGATAGAACAAACTGATGGCTGCCAGATGTGGGGGAGTAGGGGGCTGGGTGAAAAGATTAAGGGATTAAAAAATACAAATTGGTAGTTACAAAATAGTCATGGGGATGTAAACTACAGCATAGGGAATATAGTCAATAATACTGAAACAATTATGTATAGTGCTGGATGGGCACTAGAATAATTTACTTTGTAAATTATATAAATGTCTAACCACTAAGCTGTAGACCTGAAACTAATATAATACTTTCAACTGTTATTGAAAAAAATATAATTCATAATGTTCAAAAAATAAAGAAAGAAAAGATAATAGGCCCCTCTATAATATATGTCCAATTTCCAGTTATCCTCACTGCATCTAAGCATCCCCAATTCAGCGGCAGCAGTTCCCACTGTAATTTCTGACCCATAGAGAAGAGCAATCATAGAGCTCTTCACGGATGCTGGGGCTCCTCTCACAAATTTACTTCTCAGTCATGGTAAAAGGTATCTCCTCTGAACTCCGTCCCCAAGGGTGTGTGAGCAGGTCTTACATGATAGACCCACTCCTACCAAACCACTCACCCTAAGCCTTTGGATCCTTTCCTCCACCATATAAGGCAGGTCTGGCATTTTAACTTCATTTAGTATAGGTCACCTTTTGGTCCATGCTTTAGCCAAACCACCAAATTGTTAGAGCCTTTTCTAACCCTTCAGGCTATAACAGGGAATCCAGAATCTCTGCGGAGTGCTTCTATATCAATAAATTTGGCCTGATCCAACTTTATGTTCCTTTCACTATTATTCCACACCTTTAATATCCATTCCCACACATATTCCCTAGATTTCTGTGTAAATTGAAAAAGAAAATCATGCAGTTTTTAAAGAATGCAGCACACCTCATGAGTCATCCTGTGCAGCTGAGCCTGGAGGGCCTGAAACTAGTTATAGGTCTAGAAGCAAATAAGAGTAGTAGGGGTTGTTCCTGAGGAGACTCAGCAGGGAAGAGTAGTAGGGGTTGTTCTTGAGGAGACTCAGCAGGGTCTTACAAGGCAATTATTTCAGGAAAGGCCATTAAAGGTTCCTCAGGCAAAGCAGGGTTAACTTCCTCAAATAGGAGCAGAAGGACTGCTTCTACTGGCAAACAAGACTGATAAAAATTTAGGGGTTCATTACCCCATTCCAAATTTGAGGATCTTATTCCTTCTCAACCAATGCCCTCATTTTAACAGCAGATACTGTTAAATCGGGACTTCATTTTACATTATAATTCAGCCACTTTGTAAGATGAGACTCGGGGTTTGGTTTTGAGCAATCTCAGCTCCACAGCCATAGGAGAAAAGAGTTTCTTTATAGTGGACACAGAAACTTTCAAGTCAATTATACAGAGCTTGAGCTGGGAAACTGAAAACCTAAGTGCATCCTTTTCTTTCCCCACCTTCTCCAGCAGAGTTAGGAGAAAGCAGTCAGTCCCAATATAATTGTTAATCTGACAAAAATGTTTTAAGTCATCAAATACATGATCATCCAGAACCCTTTTATAAGTACTTGAGTAGGAGTATCCAATGGTGACATTTTGTGTCTCTCTATTGTCATATCACAATCTGGACTATTAGTGCCCTCTCTTCACCACTGGAAATAGTTATTAGTGCCTTTAAATCTAATCAGATTCAAGAACCAATTCCAGGAACATTATAACCAAATCAGAAAAGTCACCAAGATCTTGTTCCTCTAGAACTACTCTCAGTACCAATATCTGAATCAGACAAGGTTCTCCAGAGATACAGAACCAATAGAAGAAAATATATACCTATATCTATGTCTACCTCTCTCTCTCTTTAGAAAAACAGATATTTCTAGCTATTAGAAATCTATTATTAGATTATTTATCTAAATAGATACAGATTTAAGGAATTGGCTCACGCATTTGCAGAGCTAGAAAATGAAATGTACGAGGCAGATATGCAGGCTGAAAACTCAGGCAGAAATCAATGCTGTAGTCTTGAGGAAGAATTATTTATTCTTGAGACACTTGAGTTTGAAATTTAGGCCTTCCATTGATTGGATGGATTGGATGGGGTCTACACATATTATTGAGGTTAAGCTCCTTCAAGGTCAATTGATTGTAGATGTTAACCACATCTTCAAAATACCATCACAGTTACACCTACATTAGTGTTTGATTAAGTTAGGTTAACATATAAAAGTAGTCATCACACATAATAAACTTAGAGATTTCTCAACCAAATTTTACTTTAAACTATAGAAAAGACTTTTAAACAAGAATATCTTGTGTGCTCCAAGAGGCAGTAAAATTTTAGGAGGGTACTTTTATCAGTGGACTGGAGAGACAGTGCTTCCTCCAAGAGTTTTTGGAGAAATAAATCTTCTATAAACCACCTCTTTCCCACCTTTAAGAACATCATTCTTAGTAAGCTATAACATTGCATCCACATTTTTTAAAGTGTTTATGTTTCAAAAATGCAATCTTCAACTCTATAACAGAAATCATGCTTTAATATTACAAGCCCAACTACTCTCGCTTTGAGAACTAATGACTTAAAAAGAGGGATGGTATCTACTAATCTGTTGCTTGCCTTTACTCTGACCAAAAAACCTTAAATTACTACTTTATTTTCACTCACTAATAAAGTATAATCCAAACCAGGAGAAATCCAAACCAGGCAGGGTAAGTGGGTGAATGATGGCTCAAATAATCAAAACGGTGCATAAAGAAATCTTATAAGTGTGTTGAAATAATTCCTGTCTGACCGTTTTAAAAAGATGAATTTTTAAAAATCCTTTCTTAGCAATTCATTCATTCAATAAGCACCCACTATGTGCCGGGCACTGTTCGAGGCACCTAGGTTAAACCCCTGAACAAAATGATGATCCTGTCTTGGTGGATCTCCCATTCTAGTAAGATAGCATTCTTGTCCAGCTATTTTCCCTCTGAACACAACAGCCCAAGCATTAAAAAATATCAAAACATTTTCTGAAAGTCTACTATGTGTCAGCCAAGTTGCAAGTCCGAGTTTGGCCTCCTAGCAGACACTATTTCATTATTAACATAGAATCTGGTCTCTGAAGCTAGACTGCCTGAGTCCAAATCTCAGTACCACTAATTCCCAGCTGTATGCCCTTAGCCTAGTTATTTAATGTTCATCTATACAACAAAAATAATCCTAACTATGCCACTGGATTATATAATTAAATGAGTTCAAATGTGTAAAGCATTTAATCTGGCATACAGACAGTACTAAAATACTAATTATAATTTTAATTCTGTTTCCAGAAAACCAGATATTACACATGCAATATGGGGAAAATGACATCAATGATAACATTAATTTTTATCTGGTCCGTTTACTCCCTCTATTATTACCATCTTTAAGAGTTCTTCTATTCTCAGCTAAATTTACATGACTTCCAGTTTGTTTTATGAAAACTACAAAATATGAGCTCTACATCTCATGCATATCAAGTTATAGTAGAGTCTGTATAAACACACAGTTAAGAGGCATATAATGTAATGAGAAAATTTCTTAAAAAGTCAAAGTTAGACTCATTTTCCCTAAAATTAAAACAGCAATATCTCAAGAAACTTTAGCATCAGAACCAGCAAATAGGGACTACATAATTGCCTAGTTCTAACGCGTGGATGTATAAATAGTGCGTTCAATTTCTAGGTCCTATACATTTGCAGTTGTCAATATTCATGAACTTAAGTTCTCAACCTAGACTCACTGCATTATAATAAAAATACAAGTCATCTGAAATTGATGGCTCATCCTTATTTGTTAAAAATAGGCCTCATTCTTGATCCAAAGTTTATAAAAGGTCAACAACCTCAGAAAGGTTAATGTCCACATGTTAGAAGTGACTCGATTGCAAAGTATATGCTGCAAATGCTGCCTTCCCCAAAGCGAAGTCTATTCATTAATATAACTATGCCTACTTACAAGTGGGCAGGCTAGTAAAACATATCTTCAAAGCTGCTTTTAAAGGGATCGTTTTTGTAAAGAATAACTCAAGATGGATCGTAAATCTGAACACGTTTTTTACACTCTTAAGGTGAGGAGGTGCTGAGGCACAATAACGTTAATATGCACACACATATTAATTATCTTAGTCCACATGTGCGGTTTGGACCTTAATCTCAGGTTGAAAGCCCTGAACTATGGAGCTTTCCAGTTTCAGTACAGTAGATACCTTCGACTCTCCAGTGGAAATCTGTGGGTATGGACAAAGAAAATGTTGTTTCCCCCAACCACTCCATAACAAAGTCCAACCAACACAGAATTCTACACCCTGAGGCGTTTCTCAACAGTAGGTATGGGAAGCTGCTTTCTCTTGAATCTGAGAGCTGAGAAAGGCCTCTCTGGAAGGAGGTACGGCACTGCGTCCCAAATACGGCGATAGGGAATGACCTGCTAGTCCCTAAGAAGTAAGATGTTGCTCGTTCTTAAAACAACTCAGAGAGCGGAGGTGCACAGGCCCCTCCTCAGCAGGCTTCCGAGGAAAAGAGTGGAGTGTGAAGGGTTACACCGCAGAAAGCTGAAAAGTCCCAAAGGCAGGATCTGCTAGGACACTGGTCCAACAGAGAAAGGCGGGGGTGACCTCTTTCGGCAGCTTCGCGGGGGGCGGGTAAGGGGACGGGAGAGTGTGGACCCCCGCCCTGCAGGCGGAACCTTGCCACAGCCCAAGGAGCGGTGAGAGCCGGGCAGCTGTCGGGTTCGCACCGGGGTCTGCTCCCCAACGTGCACGGGGTTGAAGGTGCCCTCTCCACCCCTCCCGCTGCCCCTTAGAGGTCTTAGGCCCAGGATACCTCTTTGGACGTTGAAACCGCCGCCGCTTCAACGCACAGGCCGGACAACAGTTTCTCAGATGCCACGGCGGTGTCAATCAGTAGACTAACCTAACCGAGCGTGGGCCAGGGTGCTGGAACCCGCAAGTCTGAAGTGGACGCTCGCCTCCCACCACCCACAGCCCTACCAGCCGCGCCCACTAGCAACGTGCTCGCGACTGCCAGAGCGGGCTGGCGCGGCCCATAGCACGCCGCTGCGCGCGGCACGACGGGACTCGTAGTTCCGGCGCGAAGGTCGCGCGACACTACATTCTCTACGGAAAGGTGCGTCACGTGACCAGGACACGCTCCGGAAGTTGCGTAACAACATACGCGTAGCGCGGCTCGCCGCTTCCGCAAACAGAACTGTGGGTGACTGTATTGGTGAGTATGGCGGTGGAACCCCGGTCCTTCCTGTCTTTGTCTTTAGGTCATCCACCGGCGTGGAGATGGAAGGGGCACTCCGACTTCCGACCTAGGATCGCTTCGTATTAGCTCTGTGCCTTCAGTACCCGTCGCAGGGGTTTACTGTGCCTTCAGCGCGGAGCAAAATAGGCAATACTTGTAGGAGTCGACGTGTGCTGTTGCTCTGCCAGATCTGGCGAGTCCGGGCCCCGAGAAACCTGAAGAGCTGCATCAGGCCGTACCGCAGGGCCGCACTGAGCGGGCGGGTGAAGGAAGGGGATGTTAGATATGAAGATGCGTCTGTACGTCCTGAGCGGCGAATCAAAAACCTAAGCCAGAGGTTTAGTTAAGAGCTAGGCCGCGCCAATGACAGAAGAGGGTGAACTTGGCAGAATTCTCTACTCCCCTCTGCCGTGTCTTGGGCTCCCAAGTTGACCCCGTCTAGCTAACGATTTGGGGCGTAGAGCTTAAGCCCGTTGGCCTTGGCTGGCTGCTCCGTGGTTCTCTGAGAAACTGGAATGACTGACACGTGGCTTGCTTCAGAGATGTGACTGGAGAGAGAGGTCGAAATGCTTATTTGGTCATTAATTACATATCCATCTTGATGTCAGTTGACTCTGTTCCCTAAGCTCCTTCCTGGAGGATTGTGAAGTACAGTTCTTTTGCGTTTCTAGCTTATTCATTATACCACTTTGACGCTGGGTTTCAAACATTCTTACCCACATCTGCCATCATTCGGAATTTTTTGTAGTTTATTTTGACCAAATTGATTGTTTTTATGAAATCTTATTTGTGGAAATAGAGTTGCCTATAGATAAAATTCACACTTATTCGCAATACTAATTTCAGGAGTCAATCACAGCCAAAGATGATAAATCACATTGATCTATTTCAACTTAAAACGTATTTTTTGTTCCTTATCAGGAAATAAGTGGCAGAGAGAAGATAGGGATTTGATAATTCGGAGGACAGTTTTACTAATCATTTTAAGTAGTCATTCTGAAAATTACTTTTTTGAGTGATTTTTTTCCCCCACTCATTCAGCTTCTATTTTGGCATGTCTTAGTATTTTGCTGCCTCAACTTTGGGTAATGAAAGTTCACTTTCCTTGAGACCCTTCCCAGTTTATAGTGACTTGTTTTTTCCTATTCCCTTAAGCAACTTAATTTTATGTTGTATTTCTTTACTCAAAAGGTTTTTTTTACCCCCTCTTCATAACTTACAGGTTCAGAATTTACTGAATCTCACTGATTTTTGTACTTCTCTACCTTTTTCGTTTGTGTTGAATAGTACAGCCTAACATTTTAATAGTAGCATATAAGCTGTAAGTTTCTTGAAAGTGGTAGGAGTTCCATAAATTTGTTGAATGACAATAAATGGATCACCAGTAATAATTCCTGTCCAGTAGATAATTCACTTATTTCTCTTCCTGTCCCATTTTACACCTATGCCTAAGGACATTTGAAAGAGACTTAACAGTTATTAAGTTGCAGACTGAGTCTTGAAACTTCTTGTCCAAAGCCATTTCCACTCTCTTTACTTTCTACCTAATTCTGACGCCTATTACGAAATAAGGATTTCCGAAGTCAACTGTAAGTTTCCAGACTTTTCCTGTTCTTAATGCCCTTAGTGTCTCTGATTTTTTTTTTCAGTATTTCTAGGCCAAAATAAATACCTAACAGTACCACTTATAAGTATTTTAGTCCAAAGAATTTAAGTATTTATGTCCTGACAACTTAATTTAAAAAAAAATAATACAGAAACTGAAAGAAAAACTATTTGTGTTTAATCCTTAGTTAAACACAAGCTTTACCAATGGGATCTGTACACCTGTCAGGTACTTTAAACTTCTCAAGCCTTGAAATAAGATTAGACATAGCCAACTTCATTTCCTGTTTAACATTGATTTTCTTCGGTTCCACAAAAATCTCAGCTTCACAAAGTAATGTCATTGAAAGGAATGTAGTACAAGAACTAAGGGTATTGAGTAAGGATCAGAATACAAAAGGAACTTGTATACCTCTACTTCATTTGTTAGTTTTAATGCCAATAGTGAGTTTTACGGATAAGATTAGAAGTGTTTGGGGATTATAATTAATAGTCTCACATTAGCATATTCAGAAATTCATATTAATATGTATTAATTAACATTGTTTTCAATAGTCTCTACAATGAGATTTTTAAAATTTCCTAGTTGATCACTGAAATTAAATGGCTGGCTTCTGTTTAAAATTGTTTTAAAGTCTCAGCATTAGTGGTTTATAAGTAATATCAAATGTTTGCCATTTCAGTGTTAATGAAGTTGTATCATCTATTTAAGTAATCAAAAATGGAAAATTCTACAAAAGCAGAGGAATGTGAAAAGGTCTCTGACGAGGCAAAAGCATCAATAGTTTCAGAAACAGAGTCTTCATTTGGTATTAATAAAGACACAAATGCTCTTGGGACTGGGCTTTCTGAAAAGGCTTCTATCTGTGGGCAAGTAGATACACCCAAAAAGAGAAAAATGGAGTCTGCAGAAGATCTTGTAAAAGAGAGTACTAGTGAGGAAGACACTCCATCCAAGAAAAGAAAACTTGATGCTGGAATTGTCCCAGAAGAGAAAGGTTCTGGTGACAATGAAGGCATTTCAAAGAAGAGAAGAATGGAAACTGATGATTTTCCAAAAGATGAACCTTCTACTGGAGACGGCACTCAGAAAAAGAGAAAAAGAGAACTAGAAGATGTTCCTGAGAAGCAAAAAGTATGTCGAATGTATTTTCTTTTATTCATAATGAGATATGTCAAATTGAAATGTGGAGCAGCTGAGAAATAACTCATTTTACATAATATTAATAACAAAAATATTCTTTTTAATTAGGTATCTTAAGATAGAAAAAGCTTTTAACATACACTTTAATTATTTTTATTTAGGTGAAAGTTCTGATAATGAGATAGTTTGTATGTTATTTCAGAACTCATATTTGACTAGAACTTGAAAGCTAGTTGCCACCCCCTTTAATTCCCCGCCACTTCCACCCCTGACCTATGGATGTTGCCCTTCGCCTTAAGAACTGGATCTCTGAAGGCGTGGTGTCTCCTCCAACATACTCACTGTGCACCCGGGGCCAGGCACATCCAGGGGGTCTGGCACACCCCCAGGGTATGGGCAAGGACCCAGGACCTTCTGTGTGTAAAGCAGATGTGCTAACCACTACACTATGAAACCCCTGAAAGCTAGTTTTTATAGTTTGCTTTTTCTTAATGTTTTAAAAAAGACAAGAGTATGACTTTCAGATGATTTACCTTTTTTCATTTTTTATTAGGTGTTCATCTCTTTTTTGTATATGAAATAGTTGAGATTATCACTTAAAATGATAAATTCCAAAATCATACCCAGCTTTACATTCCTTTCTTTAATATAATTCTTTTAACTATATCGTTTCCAACTTTTTATTGGAGTAGTTACATACAATTTTAGGTAAGCAGTTGCAAAAGCCTGATATTTAGCAGAAATAGTATAAAGAAAGGGGCAGCAAGTCTTTTCATCTGGGAATACCATATTGTGAAGGAATCTGGATTTGGAAGGAAAGAGGACTTCAGTGAATGAGTAAAATTCTGCCATCAGCCATGAAGAAGAAAGTGGCAGATAAGCCATTCATTTGTCATTTGTAATGTGTGAATCTTTGTAACAAAGAGGAACTTGCATTATAAATGTGATTTTTAAACTTTTACTAGCAACAGAACCCTTTTCTCAAGTGAAAATCTTAAACCTGATATGTAAAGTAGGTAAAAGATGAATCACTGGTTGAACAGGAAAGTGGGGGATCTGAAACCCTTTACCTCCCATGGCGTTTTTGCTGAATGCTTGGCCTTTTAAGTAGGGACTACAAATTGAAAATGTTGAATTAGATTAATAGCAAATAACTATGGGAATCACTGACTCTGACTATAAAGTTCTAATCCCTTTGTATTATCTCATTTAATGCTCACCACTATTTTATAATAATATAATAAATATAACTTATTCCTGTTTTATTTTCTTATAGGAACCCCATCTATTGACTGGCATTTATTGAATTGAATAAATCAGAACTCTAGAAGAGTACTTGTTTTATTAAGACATTGATATCAAAATTATACAGATGAAAGATCAAGATGAAAATTTTAAACCTAGATATGTTTTTAAAAATAGGAAATGGGAAAACAAGTCTTATGTCTAATTATAGTTTAGTGGGATTTATGTGATTAATGCCATTGCTTAATGAAGTTTACCAATTTCAGTAGTATTTTATCCTTATATAGATCAGATGCTCTTTTAGTTTTATTTTTCCCATGTTCTGATTGTTAATTTTGTTCCTTTTCAGAACATAGAAGAAGGACACAGCTCAGCAGTGGCTGCCCATTACAATGAACTTCAGGAAGTTGGTTTGGAGAAGCGTAGCCAAAGTCGTATTTTTTACCTGAGAAACTTTAATAATTGGATGAAAAGCGTCCTCATTGGTATGATTGTTTTTTGATTTATGGTTTGGAATTTTTTATTTCATTTTATGACTCATTTTCCCCTCAGATGGTTAATCATACACCAGGTTACTACATCTTTAATTACCATTCATTGTCAAACCTTGGCTTTATAAAATTGGAGCCAAAACTAAAACTAGGCTGTTGAGAGAAATTCTTTTCATATTCACTTCTGGTTGACTACATAAGGTATTAATGAGTATTTAACAGATACTAAGTTGAAAAGTTAAACCAGGCTTTCAAAAAGTAGTGTGTATGCTCCTTTTATTCTTAGAATTAAGGTTACCTAGTGCTATTAAGTAATTATTCTGTTTTATGCTAATAGTTTTGGAGTGATGGCATATTGTTAGATTAAACATTCAGGTTTCATTCAGTCAAGAAAATGGGCAGTATTATTATTTTTTTATCTCTAGGCCTTTAATGAGTTGGTAAAGGTCATGTGTGTTGACTGTCCACTGAACTTATTTTTCTTGTATTAAGTCTGAGGAGAAATAAAGTTTATGTTGAGGATTGATGAAGACATTCAACTTTTTGGAGCCAGCATTTTATCTATGGAAATTCACCTTTGAAATTAAAATGAAAGTCAGTGGAGGAAATATGATTCAGGATATATTTATTGCTTTGTATATCTATTACATTAAATAGACTCTTAACGTGAGTTTAGAATTTGAAAAACCCAGTGTATTTTGAAGTTTTTCACAGTAGTATTTTGATTTTTGGTTTTTAAAAAAAATTTCATTTATTTATTTATTGTGGCGTTTTAGGTGTTCAGTTAAACAGTAAGCCATATATATACATTGCATTGTGTGTTCACCTCCCATAATTAGATTTCTGTCACCACGTATTTGACCCCTTTTATCCCATCTACCTCCCTCACATCCCCTTCCTCCCTACCCTCTGGTAACCACTAGACTGTAGTCCATGTCCATGAGTCTCTGTTTGTCCTGTTCGTTTGTTGCTTTTAGATTTATATCCTACATACAAATGATATGTGGTTTTCACCTTTTTCTGTCTGTTGTTTTTTATTATGAAGGTTTTTTTGGTTTTGTTTCTTAAAGCTAGCCTCAGGAAAAGTGAGAATGCTTTTTTGATTACATTGGAAAGACTAAAGTACTAATTATGGGTACTTTCTACTAGTTTTGATGATAATTTACTGACTTTTAAAGATAAATTAGACATTCTGAGTAGTATTACAAGTGTCAACTAGGTTCATTTTTTTTAAGCACATCTTAATATTACCTATCTCATTTTCGTTTTTTAAACTCATGTTTACAAAAATATGATTTATTTGCTTCTGCCAGATATCGAATAGAGTAATTTAATAAGTGTCAGCTTTCTTTTTTTTTTTCTTTTTTTTTTTAAGGTTAATATTATGTCATTTTTATTTTTTTATTTTTTTTAGTGTTATGTCATTTTTAGCCTGTACTTTTAAGGTACTCCTTGGACCCTGAAAGAAATTTCATTTCTTTCCTTATGCAGATCCTATAATGCAGATAACTTATCATTGGGTATTTTTAAATGAAGTGTCATTTATTCATGTATTTATTTATTAAAAGACTTAAGTCATACCTAGCAAAAATGTGTCCCAACACATCACGGTATTTTCCTTTTTCAGCTATTCCATCAACTCTCTCAGTGGGTGCTCTGCCATCTGCACCTGTCTTTTCTGGTCCTGTGTGGTATATGTCAAGCTCCCTCTCTGGCTTTTTTCTTTCTCAACACCCATTCTTTATCATTCGATTTCTCTTGTTGGTGCTTATAGCATAGTAAATAAAATAATTGAGTACTATTCTTGACTGTGATGAGGATATCTTTAAATGTTTCATGATGATTTCCCTTCTCTGTATGGAAATAAAGCGATTTTTATAAATCTTGTTTTTCACCTTTCATTGCTGTTTTTTATGCTATGTTTTTTAGATTCACAACAGAAAGTTAAATATGGACCACTTGTACTTCTATTGAAATTACTTTAAGATCCTGTGGACAGTAAAAGGCAGAAGCATTTATACAGAATATACTAGCAATCAAAATAGTACAGTCAAAATAGATCTAAGAATGCCATATTGTATCACGTTTTATAATTGCTGAATACTTCAACTGTAAGAATATTAAGATGTCTTTAACTGATATTTGAAGCATTTGGCTATTGATATATGGGGACCTACTGGATATTATTTGTTGGCTATTAATGTGATTTGGTAGATTGAGATGAAAGATTCCATTTTTATTTCAGGATGTTTAAGAACTCTGATGATAGTAAAATTAAGAGGTGTGTATAGTTTTTGACCAGATCTTGTATTTCTTTTGGTGGTAAAACTGACATCTTTTATGAAAATCAAGCACTCTTATCCCATAATTATTTTGATTAACTTAAATGTATAATAAGCTAATCACCTAGCTTTGGAAAGAGGAAACTACAAAAAGTTATGAATATTTAGTTTAATCATGAACAATTGTTGAGTCTTGTATTAATTAGAATTTAAAATATCTGCTATTTAATGTTGAATCAGATTCTGAAGATAACCTTCAAAAAGCTGTCTTAACTTTCTAAAATATCAGATATGTACCTTTTTCATCTTTAATGCTAGAGGATAAAATTAATTAACTCTTAGTCATATTTTGAAACATTTATGTAAAGTAATAAACTACTTAAATGAAAATATAATTCATATTACATTGTCAGGCAGCAGTTAATAGGTTATTAGGGGTACCAGGTTTTTAATAATTATGGAGAACGATTTATTATGACTTATTTCTCTCTTTTAGGGGAATTTTTAGAAAACTTGCGACAGAAAAAAAAACGTGATATCACTGTTTTGGACCTGGGATGTGGTAAAGGTGGAGATTTGCTCAAGTGGAAAAAGGGAAGAATTAACAAGCTAGTTTGTACTGGTAAGATAAATAATCATGTGGAAAAGAATAATTTTCAGTCAGAGAATGGAAAATAAAGATCTCATTATTATCAGCACAACACTAAAATATCTCAAGACAGTATATCTGGAGGCTACTCATGAGATGGGTGTTTTTAAACATAGGAGACTTTATTGATGGTGTTAGAGTATGGTTAATCGGCCTGGGATAACTTGCCCTTCCTGAAGCAATCAAAGATGATTAGAGTCATGTCTAAAGTACAAACTTGAAAAAATAGGACAGTTTCATCAACAGAAAGAATAATACAGTGGATTGAAACACATCAAATAAAGGGAAGTGGGGAAATCTTATTGTTTACCTTTGGAGGTTGCTAGAAAACTTACTCGTTCTTCTGAAATTCATAAATTAAGTGGGCAGGTGGAGATTGAGTATTTATCTTTCCAACTTTGTATGAGCCGTATTTCAAGGTAACCAAATGGTTGAAAGGGATATTCCTCTTTATTGAAAAATCATAATGAATAAATGCAGGAAGAATGATGAAAATCACAATTTTTCCACCCTTACTGAAATAATAGATCTAAGCAACAGTTATAAAAAGATGCTAAAGGTATTAGGTGAAAGAAACGTAATAACTAAGTGAATCAAGCACCTGAACCCACCAGTCAGTCTTAACACTAAAGTGGAACAAACAGGCATTATGTTTTTCGCATTGTTTTGAGTAATAGGAATTGCACAGCTCTACCTGTGAAGTATTGCCACAATCAGCACTTCTCAAAGTTTTTGGTTCTATGACCACTGTACACTCTTAAAAATAGTTGATGCCTATTTTTAAGAAAGTTTTTGTGTATGTGGTTGTATCAATTATAGAAATTAAAACTGAGAATTTAAGAAATATTTTTAATCCATTAAAAAAACAATTTAGTGAGAAGACCGGCATTTTAAAAATATTTTTTGCAAATCCCTTTAGTCTGAAATAATAAGAGACAACTGGATTCTTACAGCTGTTTCTGCATTCAGTATGTTGTGATTTGTTATTTTATTTGATAAGTGGTTATAAAATGAAGGAGTATTTTAATAGCTTTTCAGGTAATTGAGGATGTTCATCTTTGATACTACATCAAAACTTGACAAGCAGTAGGTAGTTCTTTAAACATCCACAGTATGGAATCTGAAACCATATTGATGAACTTTATGTATTCTGTTACATTTAAATTCATTGGTCTGTCTTGCACTTTGGATCTTTTGGCCTGAGAGATTTTGTAAATTTGGAAATTAATGTTAACTAAAGTTATGCATATCTTCTCTACGTTGACATCAAGAAATCATATTTGTTTAATATCACCACCAATCAGAAAAATAATGGCAAGATACCTAGCCCATGGTGGGTTGATGCAAGTTTTTCAGAATTGTAACTTTCACTTGAAAGTTCAAATTTTATCATTGGTAACAAATATGTCCGGTGTTTTCCTTGGTGTGAAAGACTTACTTTGTTCATTTTCAAGAAAATTTCTGCTAAATTACCAAGTCCGAAAAACCAGTTTGTCTGTCAGTGGTTTTATTTCAAGTGAAAACAATTTTCTATGAAGAAAGTGGCCAGTACAGTTCAAAATGCAATCACATCAGTCCTGTTCAAACTTTTTTGTACAACAAACGTTTTGTTACTTTGCATTTCATCACATAGAATATTAAAAAGATATATTAAAAGCCAAGATTTAATCATAATTTTTACTGCTTTATCTAGGATATTCTTCAATGAAACTGGTTTTTACCCCCCATGCTTGTTTATAATAGTGAATATAATTATTACTAGTACCATTTGGTGCTACTACCTTGTATTTATGATAAGGTCCAGCATTTTACCTACCATTGCTTTTGCGTCATCAGTGCAAATCTCAACATAAGGAAAAAGGAAATAACTTAATTTTTTTAAGTATAAATTTAATATTTCCAAACTTGGACATACAGTGTTATAATTCAAATTAGAATCAAACTTTCTGCTTTTCACTTTGAATAAGCATTTAAAAAGCATGATAGAACTTTTCTGTTATGGGTACCTACTGAGAAACCTATTAATGCCTTTTGAAAAATAATAGGACATTTACATTGAAACAAAAACTTTCTTTTTTTTTTGAAGGAAATAGAAAGTTTTTGCTTGTACTAAAGACTAGATTTCATGCCAAAATTTATCAGTTGAGATTAATGTTTAGATTTGTGCCCTCTTTGCATTTACATTTTCTCTCTGTGAGTCTTTGTTGACAGCTACTAATTAACCCCCTCCTCTTCCAGATATTGCTGATGTTTCTGTCAAACAGTGTCAGCAGCGTTATGAGGACATGAAAAATCGTTGTCGTGATAATGAATATATTTTTAATGCAGAATTTATAACTGCTGATTGTTCAAAGGTACAGTTTTTTAAAATTTTTATTTCTTTATATTTCTAGTTTGGGTAAATGATTTGTTTTAAAAATCAGCTTTTTAAAAATGCTTTGAAACATTAAAAACCTTAGAACACACGTTTTCAGTTTCAACTAGAAATTCTATTATAAGTTTTTAAAAATAATCCATTGAGTACTTCTGAGAATTTTTTGGTTTTAATAATTTGAACTTTTGAATTCACTTGTTGCTTTTCTGTTTGGATAAGATTTATTTTCCAGCATTTTGAAATAGAACTGAATTGAGGTTTTGTTCACCTCATAATTTATGAGAGTAGCTTCCCAACATATTAGAATCTGTTTATTTTTTTAACTTCTACCTGTTTCTGAGTTGCTTAACAACTGTGAAGTTTAAGAACTACAGAGATACTTGAATGGTAAAAGTCCCACCTTGATCTTTAGGGGTTTTGTCTGATACATTAGCTCATTAAGCTATTATAGATACCTTTATTCCTACACATGTTGTTTGCAGTTTTGAAAGTGAGAGGAACAGTGGTAGTATACTGGGAGAACGTTGAGAACCTTAAAAAATACTAGTATGTATATATTTTAAATGTCCGTAAGGCCAGCTTTATGGGTTTTTTTTTAACCTAAGTTATTCATTGTCATTTTAGTTTAGCTTTCAAGTAAAGCCAAATAAAAGGATCAACTCCTTTAAATGCCATCTTTGATTAATATATTTTAACATGATTTCAGAATTCCTAGTTTTTAAAATTACTATGAAAATGGGGTTCAAATTCTGTTGAACAAAAGTGAAAATTATTTCATTATGACCCTTGTTATATATAAGAGAAAGAGTAGGTTGAAGACTATGAGGAAAAGGATAGGTAAGTTGAAGGGCATGTCTACTTTTATTTTAAGGACCCTAATTCTAGAAATTAATTTATTAAAAAGTTATTATGTTATACTTCAAAATCTTATTTTAATTTGCTTCAGGAACTTTTGATTGACAAATTTCGTGACCCAGAAATGTGCTTTGACATCTGCAGTTGTCAGTTTGTCTGTCATTACTCATTTGAGTCCTATGAGCAGGCTGACACAATGCTCAGAAATGCTTGTGAGAGACTTAGCCCTGGAGGCTATTTTATTGGTACCACTCCCAATAGTTTTGAACTGATGTAAGTACTTTCAAATATATTGTGATTTACAAAATGCTCAGTATTAAGGTTATTTTCAAGTAGCAAAAGTTTGTCAAAAATTGAGTTTTTATAGAACATATCATGTTGATCTTATAAGGGATGAACATTTTGATAATGTATTTGAGTAAGTACTCATAATTTAAGTTAAAAAGACAGATTTATGGATGAGCCTTTAAAACATCTTAATGTGTAAGTTGAAAGCTGATATTACATTGAGCCAGAAGTCGTAGTGCTGGACAAAGTGCAGATTAGTTTCTGAGGCATAGAGCATTAACCAGCTGTCATGATCGCGATGCCTACCTCTAGCCTAATTTTATTATGAGTGAGATTGTTAATAATAGTTTAGTATTTTGCTTCTTAAAAATAGCTCAAATTCAATTAAAAAGCTAATCAATTGTCTTTTTAAAACTGTATCATGTAGTTTTTCATATGTATAATCTGATCAAAATAAGTCTGAGCTAATAACAATTTTAATCCTTTTATTTTGTTTTGGGGATAACATTATAGAAGACGCCTTGAAACTTCAGAAACAGAATCATTTGGAAATGAAATATATACTGTGAAATTTCAGAAGAAAGGAGATTATCCTTTATTTGGCTGCAAATATGACTTCAACTTGGAAGGTGTTGTGGATGTCCCTGAATTCTTGGTCTATTTTCCATTGCTAACTGAGTAAGAATGTAGTTAATCTGTTACTATTCTCTTTTTGCCTTCAGAGAGAACAAAAAGGGAAAAAAATAGATATTTCTCATCATTCCTTATTTTATAGGGGACTCAAAGAAAAAGTATAATATTGTTATAAAAAAGAAAAAAAAAAAAAAAGACTAACCTCAAATCTAGGGTTAGTACCATACAGATTTACTTATTTAGTTTTCTTTTATTCCTGGAATTATTTTTGTATCCTGTGGGTAAGAAAGAGAGCCCATTACCTTCAACTTGTGGCAGAAAATACATGACATTGCATAAATAACCTGACATAACTGCTTAGTAATTTAGGAATATAAAATGAATCTTCCTGTTGACAGGGATGGATAGTTAAAATATTACATTCACTATAGCTTTGAAATCACCTGTGTCTCACAGGCAGTGTTGATAATAAAATCCCGATTCAGGAATCTGTTCACTCATACACCTGAATTCCTAGGAGTCCTGGGGACTCCATAGACACTGGGAAAGTTGGAGTACCAGACTTCATCGGATGAGATTTCAAAGGCCTTATGAGACACCTTGATCTTGGGGTTTTCCTTGATAAAGAGATTGGAAGAGTCAGCTAAAATGTAGGCCATGTCACAGTTGACTGAACTCAATTTTAGATTTTTTTAAAAACAAAAGTCTTTTTAACTGGAGAAAAAAAAAAGCTTTATTATCTGCTTGCTTTTAGTTGGTGATTATTTGAGTTGTGTCTTAGCTTGTAAAATTAGGGGTATAGGATTTTCAAGAGTTCTATAATGTATAAGAAATTTATACAGTAATATAAGAAAGTTAAGTAGAGTGAACATGAGGAAAATACTATGCACAATTTATAAATACAATCTGTAAAATTAAAACATTTGAATCACACTTTTGTTCTTAAAATTAGTAAACTTTTAGGAAGTGTTATTGCTTTTCAGCTTTAAAAAAGAAGAAATTAAACATTTATAGTATGTTGTTTCATATGTTTAATATGTTAGCTTGGTGTTTTTGATTAACAAAGTTGGTGATTTTAGTTTAACTTTTTTTTAAAAGCTGAGCAAGCACTAGCAGTCCTTTCTACTTAAATTGTATAGTGATAATAGACAAAAAGTTACAAATCATAACTTTATTTTTTATTTTTTTAGGCGAGGCAACCCTTGGTTGACCTCATAAATTGCAAGGACTTTGTCAGCTTACAATCCCTTATTTTTTTAATTTTTTTTTTTTTTCCCCTGCCTACAGCACCTGGTCTTCCCAGGTGGTCTCCCATTCAAGTACTAACCAGGCCCAACCCTGCTTAGTTTCCGAGATCAGACAGGATCAGGCTTGTTCAGGGTGGCATGGCTGTAGACCAAGTCATCACTTTAATATCTAAATTTTTAAAAAACTATTTATCGAAACAGGTATTCATTTGGTGAGACAGAATCCAAAAACGCATAGGGTTTTTTGAGATGCCATTTTGCCATTTCATTAAGAAACTGAACAAAAATATAATTAGCTCTTATATGGCAAACCAACTCAAATTGGTCAAATTGAGTTTCAGTGCTTTGCAATTATGACATTCCTTAGGTATAAAACTTGGTTTCATTTTTAAAGGCTTATTTTGGAGACTTATGATAGAAAATGAACTGCCTGGAATAGAAGAGACTTTTACCTTTACTCATACTGTCTTTCCATGAAGGGCTAACTCAAATTACAGGGAATTCTATCTTACATATGCCCTTTACATACAAATCTCAGAGGCCTGCAAATGTTTTCCTCTATCCTATCTCCTGAGCTGTCACCTCACAAGCCTTCCCATGTACCCGTTCAGGGTTTTTCCCCCTTTTTTCCTTTCCTCTTTTACCTGCTGCCTGAAATCATCCCCACTCTCCCTCATATTGTCTACAGATATATAGTTAAAAACTTTGACAAATAGTGAAAAAAGTCAAAACACAGTATAACATGGAGACCTAATATAATTGAGGATTTAAGGTAGCCATCTGTGAAGTGATGTTTAAGTCCGAATCTAAAGGATGAATAGGAGTTGACAGGTTAAAGACTGGAAGGAAGAATCTTCCAGGCACAAGGGACAATATGTATGAAGGCCCTGAAATGATGCTGGAGAAAAGCCATTGAAGTATGCTTTATAGTTTGATGGAGAGGGTGTAGTGGCATGTTGAATACAGTGGGCAATGGAGAAAGGGAGATGACATGGAAAACTCCCAGGATGTCTAGCATGAATCATTAGAGGAATTTAGTGAAATAGAGTGGCAGAGGGACAATCTAGTGGGGTTCAACCTTGGATATGGAAACTTGGAGAATGCCTGTGGCACATCCTGGTGGAGATTTCTAGTAAGCAGTGGGACAAAGAGAGCTGAGCACAGATAGATGTTGGCATTCTGGGTAAAATCAGGGAGAGAAAATGAGTAAGATGTTGGGCCACACTCTTCAGAACCTAAAATTTAAAAGTTGTGTAAAAGAAACCCATGAAACAAATTGAAGAAGCAGCCCAAGTTGTAGGATAAAAATTAGTAGTGTATCTTGCCATAGAATTCAAAAGAAGAATCTTTTAAGGGAGTTGGCAGCTGTTTTCAATGCAGTTGTGAGTAAAATGGAATCAAAAGTGTTCCTTATAGATATACATTTCCATCTTACAGCCACCTTTTCATTTTACTTCCTGACCCATTTGTTACGTTAAAAGAGAGAGCTAACTGTGACCCATTGACATTTAAAAGGCGTATTTTCTTATGGGCATGGTTAGTGGTATGTTGCTTGTCATTCATTTTGCATCAGTTTATTGTGAATATATGAAGGAGATGGTAGCTTTTTTATTTAAGCCTAGAAAATGTCACTTGTGTGAAAGTAAGCGATCAAGGAATTACAAACATTTTGGAAGCCTTTTCATTAAATAATCTTTTTTGGACAGAATGGTGAAGAAGTACAATATGAAACTAGTCTACAAAAAAACATTTCTGGAATTCTATGAAGAAAAGATTAAGAACAATGAAAATAAAATGCTGTTAAAACGAATGCAGGCCCTGGAGGTAAGTATTTAGAAAAGCTGTAAAAATTCCAGATTATGGTTAACTTCTTTTGATGCTGCTGAGATTCTTTTCAAGGCCATTTAGACACTTAATGTTAATATAAATTACATAGACTATAACTGCTCTAGGCTCTTCAGCACCTAGGACAGAGCTTGGTACAGAAACTTTTCAGGGTGGAAGCTCATTAAGTAGTTGAATGAGTGAGTGAGTGATGCTGTCATCCAATTCTATGGAGTGCTGTTTTAAAATAGGATTTTTCAACCTCAGGACTATTGGCTGTTTGGACTGGATAATTCTTGGTTATGGGGGCTGTTACATGCACTGTAGGATGTTTACCCACTAGATGCCAGTAGCACCTCTGCAGCCAGTTTGACAGCCAAAAATGTTTCTAGACATTGCCAAATGACCCCTGGGGTGCAAAATCATTCCCACTTGAAAACCACTTCTTTAGAATAATGCCCTTTGGTTGCATCAGTAATTTAAAACCTTCCTGGCCAGCATCCAAGACAAGGTCATATCATGTATAATTTTGTTCTTTGGTGACTGTCTAGCAAGATTCCGATTTTTAGACTATATTGGTGCTTTAGACATGTTTTAACTCCTGGACTCCTCTCTACTTACCCTAATGCAGTAGTGAAGGTAGTCTATACAAGCTTTAAACACAGCATACAGCCATTAATTAGTTTTTCTTATGTATCTTATCAGTGTTTTTAATTGGACAGATCATGAGCATTTTTGTTATTGATTAACAATCATATTAATCAAAAAGTCATTAAAAACTTTTTAAAAGTATTTTAAGCATACTCTTATACTCATACTTACCTCTTGAAGCAGCCACTTTTCCTATTCTTAAATGGGCAATCTGAGGCTTAGAGATGATAAATGACTTGTTAGAGGTCACTTGGTTATTAACGTTTAGATTTTCTTCAGTTTTTATAGGTGGTAGTCCAACAAAAGTCTCCTGTTGTAGTTACGTCCCTCCTCCTCCCTACCACTCATTTTGAATGGGAGGGTCTTTAAATCTTTAATTGTCTTTTAAAACCAGTATTCACTAGAATGTTATATTCTTCTTTGATTATATTTTTTTATATTTTAGAATTAGGAATGTTTGTATTTGCTTTATAGTAGGAGGAAAGGCTTGTTTGTTTTGAGAGAGGAGAAAACCAGAGAAAGTGTGTACATAAGTCGCCACACACATACATGCCTTTAGTATATCATCCTTACTTCTTGGTGCTTTGTATGTTCAATGATCAGTTGTTTATGCTTTCTCTTTGCATGTGGGTAATGAATTGATTTGTGTAATTTATTCAAAAATATATGTAGACAGTGAGATATGGATAACAGGGTCCACTTCAGGGATCTTATGACATATTGAGGAAATAAACATACAAGCAAATAATTTAGTACAGTGTCAGAATTGCCTTAATGAGGAAATAAAGTGTAGTGAGTATATAAAAGGGTCTTTAATGAAGAAAATGGACTGTAAAAGTAAAGGCAGAAGCGTGAAAGCAGAGAATGTTTGAAGAATACTGATAACTATGTTATTTCTTAACACAGTAGTTCTCCAGTCCTTCTCCTCCCTTACCTGCCCTTAAGGACATGACCTATCACTGTGGCTGGCTGGGGACATACATAAGCAGTAATAGTGTGTAGTTTGAAGAATTCCTTTGTTGTTTTTTTTCCTGCTTCTTCACCAGGTCACTTCTGCAGGCCTGTAAAGAGTGGGAGAGGACATGACCAAACTAGTGTGAGAACATGACTCAGGTAGCAGTATGAAAGATGGTTTAGAGGGATGTTAAGACCAAAAGCAGAAAGAGCAGCCAAGATGATATTACTTTAGTTCAGGTCAGATTGTATCCTGATCTGTTCTCTGATGTTTGCTATAAAAGGTCTTTTCCAAAAGCTGTCAGCCCTCAGCTGGCCCGGAATTTTAGCAGTAGAACCAGTAAAACTGCTCTACTCTCTTGGAGCAGTGTAGCAGATAGAAGGAAGAATGAAAAGACGTAAGCCAGCAACTGTAGTTATAAAGTCCTGACCTGTTTTCTTTTTTCTCACCTGGGAACAGTTCTGGAATAGACATACATTTTGGCAAGTTTAGTAAAAACAATCAGTTTTACAGCTATATAATCATATGTTATTTGGTCTTTTAAAGTGATCAGTAGGGGAGAGAAACTAGATGTCCAGTGACAGGCAAATAATCATATGGAGGAGTCTCATTACACTGTTAACTTGAAAAAAATTACAGCAGAATAGTTTGGTAGTCATTGAAATTAAACTTTTGAAGCTTTGTGAAGCAGTGAAACCACAAGACATGGGATTGAAGGTTCAAAAGAACTTAGTGATCACAAGTGTTCTGTTTTATATCCCTTGTGTTAAGATGTGATAAAGAATCTAACAGAATGGAAGTCCAAAAAGCCAAATACTTTTTAAACAACAAATAGGTAAATTTCTAATGCTTGAACTTTAGGATTTTTATAAAACAAAAGGGGAAAAAAGATAACAAAGTAGACATTTCTGGATCATTTTCTTAAAAATGCGTCAGGGAAGTTTAAAGTTATTCCTTGCTAGCTGGTTGGTTATAAGAATTCAAGGGAGTTTTAAAGAATATATAATTTATAGAGTAGATGGTTGTTATATTTAATATTCTATGTAACTTATGTTTTTAATTCACATGTATTTACAAAGCATATTCTTCATAGTGTAAAGAGAAATTAGTTAAAATGGTTTAAAAATAATGTTTGAGATAATTTGAATAAATATTTGGTCAGCATACCCTTGTGTGTGTGTGGCCCTTAAGATTTTGGAGGCTGGATTATTTTCCTTATCTTCTTAAATTCGCAGGGTTCTCTGTTACTTGAGTTTTTCATTAGTATTGTTTCTAGTTGCTGTTCTTGCCTTCCATGGCTACTAAATTGCTATAATGCTCAAATTAATATTTATCTCTTCCTTCAGCTTTGTGTTGTAACAGAAAAAACCTTTGATGGGAGGCAGAGATGCAAGTGTTTGCTGCTAAGTAGTCCTTCGTGGTGATTAGTTTAGTCCAACTGTAAATATTCTATGATTATGATCAAAGTTGACCATAACAACTACTTTGTTAAAAGGGGATTCCCTCTAACCATTTTTTTCATATTTCATAAGTATATGTAATTTGTATTCCTGAAGTAATACTTAGGGATTATTGTGTTAATTATTTTATTTCAGTGATTTAGTGTGTTTGATTCTGGATTGTAAATTTCAGTGTAGTAACTAGAAATTTCACTTGCTTCCCTAGCCATATCCTGCAAATGAGAATTCCAAACTTGCCTCTGAGAAGGTGGATGACTATGAACATGCAGCAAAGTACATGAAGAACAGTCAAGTAAAGTTACCTTTGGTAAGTTCTCATTTTTAAACATTTTATTAAAAAGTGAAAAACACATATATGGAAACTTAGGGAAGTATTTCACTGATTTACAGAACTTGGGTTCACTGAGTTACAAATCAGATACACATTAGTCTGTTTCCCCTAAGTTATGACTTTTTATAACCATAGAGAATAAAATAAAATGTACTTCAGTGAACTGAGAATGGAGTGCTATATCATTATATCTTAACCCAAGTACTAATAACTCATGGTGTTCTGTAGATAAAATTCAGGGGCTCATGAACTTAGATGGGGAAAACTGAACATTTTTATTTTCACTGACTTCTATGTGGAAATTTATATTTTCTTGAATTATGAATGTAACAATACCACTGTTATTATCTGTAGGTGTGACTTTGTCATTGATAGAAATTACAGATATTTGGGTAACATATTTCTGCTGACATCATAGAATATTGTTTACATTCATCACTTTTTCAATATTGCATTAGTTACTTGTCAGTATATTTTGTTAGTAAATGTATGTGCAAAGTGGCACATATATTACAATATCAAATGTTTTATAATTTATTTCTTTTGCATGATATGTACTCTATTTTGTGATTCCATTGTGAAAACACAAAAATCTTATTTCTTCCTGCAGGGCTAATTGATGTTTTGAGATGGGCATTTTTATTTTTTCATTTTCCAAGTTAAATATACAAGATAGATGCTTTTTCCAGTTACACACACACAGATACCCTCTTTACCGAATTCACCCTTCGGCTGAGAATCAGTGGTTAGAGAATTTGGCAGGAGGGCAAAAGTGTTCAGAGATGGTGTTAAAGGTTAATCTCATTGATTTAGTTTGCATGGTCAGATCACAATATTTACTGTAAATTGTATATTTATTTATAACAAAGATAGGGTTGTTTGAGCACCTGTGTCCATTATTGAAAAATTGACCCTTGAACAACATGGGGGTTGAGGCTGCTGACCCTTGCACACTCAAAAATTCATGTATAACTTTTGATTCCCCCAAAATTTAACTAGTAATAGCCTACTGTTGACCGGAAGTCTTACCAATAACATAAACAGTTGATTAACACATGTTGTATGTGTTATATAAAGTAAGCTAAAGAAAAGAGAATGTTATTAAAGTCATAAAGAAAATACATTTACAGTATTTATTTGAAAAAATCCACAGACCAGTGGACCCATGCAGTTCAGATCCATGTTGTTCAAGGGTCAATTGTACTTCCACGTTCCATCTAAAATTTTCTTTTTTGTTTTTATAATTTTAGGGAACCTTAAGTAAATCAGAATGGGAAGCTACAAGTGAGTATATCATCAGCGTAGGTTTACTGACATTTTCAAAGATTGCTTCAAGTGATCATTAAAATTTGAAAACTTTAGAATTTTTCTGACACGTATTAGGTTGTATGTGTGTATTTATGTTTACACAAAATTCCTATTATATCTAATCCCCCCTTTCTTGCGCAGCTGTTTAGTGCCAAGAGAAAATATATGCAAGATGTTACTTAACATAAACTTTCACAAGTATTCTTAAACATTTTCATTGCCTACTCATTACTATATAGCCATCTGTGTATTTGATGTCTTTACCTCAGATTTCTATCAGAAAATTTGACTTGTAGAACACTTCCATGTATTTTATTTTAATTCTGGCTACTCTGACGTTGTCAGTGAAAGCAGAAGAAATAGAACATTTAGTAAAGGCGCAGTGAGCACGATATTTTACAGGAGTGGGGACAGGCCTTATAAGCAGACATTCTAAAGTGAGGTATCTATCTTTGGAAGTCAGAGGCCTAGAAAATCTGTAAAATCCTGTGGTTCTTCAGCAAATGGATGTTGAGGAAGTCAGCTCCCACAGCCTCACTGTTAAAATTATGATAATACCCTTATGTTGCCACAAGGACTTTAAAGGTAGTTCCCACTGTTTATTGAAATATTTGCTGATTATGTTGAAGTCCCAAGTAATCACAGACAATCCATTTGGTAAACATTGAGTGTTGACTTACATAAAGTTCTATGAAAGGGCTTTGGGGGTTAAAAAAGTAAACAAATTATAATCTCTGCCTTCTAGAAGTGTTCTATCTAATGGAAGAAATGGACACAAATAAATGCAGTAGTTAGGCAAACAGTTTTAAGTGCTAAAGTTATTGTAAGGGGAAAATAGAAGGAGAGTTTAATAAAAACTTATGAAACCCAAAAAATAATACTTATTATTATTGAGTGCCCAGGTACTATTTTAAGTTTTTCATATATTATAGCTCATTTAATCCTTACAACTTTATGAATCGACTGCTATTTATTATATCTCCTTTGCACAAGCGAAAAAGCAGTTAAATAACTTGGGTAAAGTCACAGAGCTAAGGTCACTCATAATCATGGACTCATGGAAGCCCATATGGAAGGACAGTTTCTTAGGACTTGCCGAATTGGATAGAAAAGAAAAGGAAAGAAGATAAATAGAGCCAACATTTTGAGCTTATTTGTCTCACAATATTGGTACCCTTAGTAGAAATGGGATTGGAGGATGTATTAGAGACATAATCTTTGACAAACTGAGATGTGTGTATAAACCTACACATTTCATTACTTTCCCCAAACTGGAAATAGAGTAGGTATCTTAGATATGCTACCCGTCCCATACAGTGTGATGGAAAACAACTTTGATCAAAAGTCGTGATGGTATGATGCCCATAGCTTAGAGCTGTATTTTTATATTAATTGTGGACTTTAGTGATAAAATACAAGTGAATTAGCTGGCCCCAGACAGTTGAGGAAGAGATGCTTAGAGATGGGAAAAGCAATACAAGAAGAGTAGTATTCAAATGGCAGCCAATATCTAGCACTCTGGATCAACCAGCTCTTTGATAAGGTATCCTGTTCTAAGCTGGAGGGCTTTGTGGGCTGGCAAGCATCTTGCCTGGTGTCACAGTTTAATAAATACAAGCAGTTATATTTTGAACTCCTACTGGTCTAAATCATAAAGCTCTTTTTACCATGGCCTGCTGCTCCTCTAGAAGATGCTTTAAATGTGAATGGAGAGTAGAGAATTGTTGCTGATTTGCTTTAAAAGTAGTTCAAGATTTGCTTCTTTAAATCCCAGTTTAAATTCCTACACAAAAGGCATTTTATATATGAGTGAAACTTGGAATGTTTGAGTTAGAAAGGCAAGTTATTAATTTGCTTCTCTGAAGTCAGAAACTGCATCTTAGGGGTTTTAAATGACCCTCAATGAGGGC